AACAAACACTGAGCGTCGGTATTTTGTACAATATTTGTTTAATTAACATTACGATATTAATCTCTTTTTCTTGTATTTGGCGTAATGTGCGTCTGTGTGTTTGTGTGTTTGTGTGGAGTGTTTGTGTGGAAACGTGTAAGTTTGCGTGAATGTCTGGGTGTGTAAGTTTATGTATGTGAGTGTGTGAGTGTGTGTGTGTGTGTGTGTGTGTGTGTGTGTGCGCGCGCAAATGATGGACGCATGCACGCTGTGGTGTGTGTGTGTGTGTGCGCGCAAATGATGCTCGCTGTGTAAGAGTTTATTTATGCGTACAACATCTGTTGTTCGTGTGTTTGCAATTGTAACAAAGTGAGGTCAAGTTATGTTCAACTCTTTTAAGATCAGTTGTTCCTGTTCTTCTTTTTTGTGGCTGATGTTTTCCTCTTAGTGTGTATGTGAGTGGGTGTGTGTGTCTTGTGTTTTTTACAAGTTTGTGTGTTCGCTGTAATGTTCGCATGTTGTATGTTTGCGTGTTTGTTTGCTCTGGTGCTTACGTACAAGTTTATAAAAAACAGATTGTGTGTGCTTTTGTTCTCATTGCTGTAACTACATGCAGCACAGCATCATTCAACACGCAGCATGCAACACGCAACATGCAACACGCAACATGCAACACGCAACATGCAACACAGCAACTTCCATTCTGCACCACAAGATAAACGAAGTAAATTTGAAGTTTATTGATAGTGCAAACCTCAGAGTCTGTTTTGAATTAATTTTTATACAAAACCACAAAACCACATAAATGTCATCATAAAAGTGTACGCTCCAATGTGCACACGGTGTTTGTGTGCACTTACTCTACTTTTTATGCATCCTTAATTCGTAGACTTTGTTATGCACATGTATGTGTCAGGGTCAGTATGTATTTATAAATAAATTCATGTATGTAGCTAAAATAAATATCATGTTTGCATTGTATGCATGTCAACTAAATATCATGTTTGTATTGTATGTACGCTAACTAAACATCATGAGTGTATTGTTTGTATTTTAGTAAAAAAAAACATTACACATTTGTTTTTCCCCACTTATGATACAGCCATCCGATATCTTGTTGGAACAACAACGGCAACAGAGCCATACCAAACATAACTGCAACCGCCCTGTTGCAGAGCAAGCAAATGATTTAAACGGCTCTAGGTGGCTTTGTTTAAAAACTGTTTTGAAGGGGAGGAGGTTTGGGTAACAACTAAAAAATAAAAAATCAAAAGTATCAAACATCAAATAAAATTAAAAAGAGTGTGTTAACGAAAAATAAGCTATGCAGTGCATCTTGATGTACGTGTAAGAAGAAGAAATTAGATTTCATTTAGGCTACTGAACTGTTGGATTAGCTTTACCGAAATTCTCCAAAGCAATAAATTTTCATAAATAAGCAATGAACCTCCAAACACACGTAAATAAGGACGTCGTTACAAATTGAATCACATTCTCGTGTTTCATCTTTGGGCTGCTCCGTTATCACCAAGATATTTTTCAGAGTGATGGGAGTATTTGAGGTTTTTTCTATAACAGAAGACAATGGAAGTGAAATGAGAATAAGTTAGATTTGTGAAAATATTCATTGGTTATCATGAAAACCACAAGCGAACTAAGTCGACCTTGTACGTGGTTTAACTGATTTTGGAAAAGTTTATTTTTTCAAAATAATTTATTTAGCGGCCAACTTACAAATTTTTATTGAACGAATATGAAATAAGAACGACGATGAATGACGATGATGGCGATGCTAATCACGACGGCTAAGATGATGAAGAAAGCGGAAGCTATCACGTGAAAATTGATGCTAATGATGAATGACGTAGGGATAGCACTAGTGATGTCATGCACTTTTGGTCGAAAGACGTCATCTGATGAGTTTCAGTCATAAGATATGAGAATGTGATGATCAAAGATGGGATATGTAGCTGTTAGGTTTAGGTTATATACAATCCATTAAGACAGATTGCCAGTTCAGTCCCGTTCGATTTACATTGTCTGTTTATAGTCAGTGGTAAATCCAGGCAAAGTCAACTGGGGGGCCAAAGTGGTCCACTTGAATTCACTACTGTTCATAATACATATATAATAAAGAACGAGATTTTTCCAAAAAAAATTAAGATGAACACCACCAACGGTTTATATTCATCTCAGTCGTAACAGAGTAAAAAATGTAAGTAACAATATGAGGGCTTATAATTCAGGATAGCCGTTAAGAAGAAGATTTTCTAGTGGTAAAATTAAAATAAATGAAAAATAATTAATTATTGAGATAAAAACTAATTGATCGCCAAGTAATTTGCCATTTGTGTGGTAAGGTGAGCAAATCTACCAAAAATAAATTTTTAGAGATGTATGCATGCAACGTGTTTGTATGTATCAATACTTCAGGTGGATCAACGCTACACAGCAACCCAAATAGAAGACCAGCTTGTTATTTATGGAACGTTTTTGTTGTGTGTGTGTGTGTGTGTGTGTGTGTGTGTGTGTGTGTGTGTGTGTGTGTGTGTGTGGGTAATATTGAATATTGTGGTCTTGAACAAGTAAAATATAAAATATCAATCATTGTCGAAATGTTGTGAATTCAATTATGCTGTTATGAATGATGTTAAGTAAATAAAACCATAACATTGTTTCAGATTGTCGCATTGTGTAAGGTTCTGTGTGGTATGAACGTTAACAAATACTTTCAATGTCATGTCATCAATATTACATAGTAACTTTAATTTATTATTCAAACGCCTAAGTTTCGTCGGAAATGTTTCACTTTAATTTTAATGCATGGTTTTCTTATTTGCTCATACAATGACAGTTATAACGTTACTAACAATCCATGTACTGATAAATGGTAACACGTTAATAATGAAGTTAATATGGTGAGCGCAATCTAAATATTATCGTTGACGTTGTGTTGAGATGATGACAATAAAGAGGTGATGATGATGAGAAGGAAGAGAGCGTTGATGATAATCATGGTGATGGTGATTGTGACGAAAAGATGACCATCAACATTAAGAATGATCGCAGTTAAGTCTTATGAAATAGAACTAGTAATGTCCTGGAACTGAGTCAAACTGGTAGAAATCTGGTATCATTGATCAATCGCTACCACAAATTCCAAAAAACGAGCACAATTCATTTGTTATATAGACATTTATTTAGTTTTTGCCTATAAGATTCTCAGTAGATACACATTTGGATGCGTTGTACAGCAAAAAATAGTTTTTAAACAAAATTAATCTTTTCCAATTCAACATTTCCATTTTGTACCCAGCACAAGATGGCATGGAAATGTTTCATCATTCATTATCCCTGCCTTGCTGGTTTTTTTATTGTTTCCACATTCTCCATTTACTCCTCTTCATAAATATTTTTTCCACCTCGCTGTCAGCAACATATTAGCAGTTTGATTCAATGCCTTGTTTACCTTACTACGGTTGGTTTTTCTGCGCACAAATTTTGTAATTCTCCGCAAAAGCGTACGTTTGAATATTTTTGTCTCTGCTGTTTCTGATTCCATGGATGTTGATGAGGGTGTGGATGGAGTGGATACGGATGGAGTGGATGTGGTTGCATGTACGTGTGAAAAAACGTACGTGTGGAGATGGGTAATGATGTACTTTCTTGCACTGTCTTGGAATAGTTGCACATTGTCGTAATAACTCGATAGTCTTTCCTCGCATATTTCTTCCATTCACTGGATCAAATATTCATTCCTAGTTATACGCTTGTTGTAATCATAAACCTTTTTCGTAATATTGTTAGCAACATCATGTATACAAGAATTGCTTTGTAACATTGTTTAAAACAATTAATATATTTTCAAACTTTTTTTCAAGTGATTAAATTTAGTGAATGTTTGAGACAATTCTAATTAGGATGATAAGTTTTGTGTAAAAACGACTAATGGGTGAACCATAAATTAAGAAAATGTTTAGAATTAACGACTTTTAATGGTTGTTTAATGAATAAAAAAACATCAACACTTCAGTCCTATTGTAAAGTTTTATCAATCAATCAATCAATCAATCGATCAATCAATCAATCAATCAATCTATCAATCAATCAATTAATCAATCAATCAATCAATCAATCAATCAATCAATCAATCAATCAATCTATCTATCAATCAATCAATTTATCAATCAATCAATCAATCAACCTAGCTAATGTTTTTCATAGTTTTAGAAGTTGAGATAAGCCCAAACATTCCCTCAAATGATCGATTCCTTTCCACTAACCCATTAACTCGGACTTATTATCTTTCCATTTAAATGTAACACACAAAATTATTCAACAAATCATCACTTCGCTAAACGATTTTTTTTAAACTAAACTCGATAAAAAGTGTATGCCTACGTTTGTGTTCTAAAGTTTCAGTCTAATTTTTTTTAAGTCAAAAAACTTTCGCAAATCTAGATGAGGGTTAAATGGAAAATTTTAAGTTCTAGTGTATAAAAGATTATTCATTTAATCATTCTAGCTTGAAAAGCTTCATTTTTATAACATGAAATGAGTGGTTAAAAATTCACAAGAAGGCTTTCATAGCATCAAATTATACTCTGCTAACTTTCGGCTATTCAAACCAAAGTTCAAGTCAAATTAATTTTTTTTAGAAAGTTATAAAAACTTAAATGTAGTAAATATCTGAGTAATGAATCAGTGGTAATAAAATATTTATGAAAGCTGTTGCCTCGTAGTGCAAGACTTGAAGTTTTAATACCATTTTTTTATACATAGACTCATAAAATTTATTAATATGATATACCGCTTATATTTTTCAGATCAATATTGTTTTTGCATGAAATAATTTCAAAAAGTACAACTTACACGTGCAAACATTAAACTTAGCACACTTGATTCCATGAACTGATATATATGAACTAAAGCAAAGTTGTTGGTACTGCCCTATGTCTAGCACCAGCTTATTGGTTCAACCGAAGCTGTAACCAAGCTGTTCCAACCTCTACAGAATTTTGTCAGAAGTTCATTGCGTTGAAATGAGTAGGGTCGTTGATGCAATAGAAGAGATGTGGAACATCATCTGGGTGGATATAACAAAAAGTACAGACGCTGCCGATGTTCATGTCTAATTTTAATTCGTAGTTACTGACAGAACCAGCTATTAACAAGAGAGGACGCAGCAGGTCTGGCTGTTTGTTGTAAACTATTTCAGCGAAAAAACCCAACCTATAAGGATTAGTGTTGCAACTGTTTGTCGGATTGGTCGAAAATGTTAATGTGGGTTTGTTGAATTTCCTTTTGGAGGTGTTCTCGTCGTTTCGACCAGCTACCCCACTCGAAGCCAACTGATGCAATAGACTGTGGTTGTTAATAATGCATATTTTATTTGTTATATTGGTTTGACTTTTCTATTTGTGGGCACTTGTGTGTGTGTGTGTGTGTGTGTGTGTGTGTGTGTGTGTGTGTGTGTGTGTGTGTGTGTGTGTGTGTGTGTGTGTGTGTGTGTGTGTGTATGCAGTGCATATAATGAAGAATGATGACGATGAAGATGATGATGAGGAGGTTGATAAAGATATGATATAACCACTAAAAAAATGTAATGATATTGTTATTATTATTATTGTTATTATTAGTATTAGTATTATTATTATTCTCACTACTACTACGCTACTATTGGTGCTACTACCGTCACTACTGAAACCGTTACTTTATTACCAAAACTATTACTACAACTGCTTCTACAACTACTACTATCATTTTATTACTCATTATAATTTGTATAATTACTTCAAAAATGGCAATCACGCACTATACAGTATAACATTCATCCGCTGTTAAGTGGCTTGTTAAAATAATTTATTTCACTTACCTGTAATTGTGGCTTCAGGTGTGATGATGAAGATGATGAAGGCGATGATGATGATGATGATGATGATGATGATGATGATGATGATGATGATGATGATGATGATATATTAATGATGATGACGATGACAGTGATGATGATGACGACGATGATGATCATAGTAATGACGTATGACTAATATAATTACATTTGAAAACTTTTTAAGATACATCGTATAAGTATAAGATAGCTTATCGGAGTTTCAAAGTATCGCCGATAAAGTTTAAATGTGAATGTTCATTCATGTTAAATGTTTATGTTCATTCCGAATACAATTTTGTAGTTTTTTGGCTCAATTTTACTTGATGTTTCAATTATTTTATCATTCTGATTTTGTATGTCTGTTTGGCGGGTGACGAATCAAAATTGTTTGCGACATTGCAACTGCTGAACTTTTTTTCTTCACATGACCTGCGCGCAACATAATTTTCCTCCTCTCTACATCATCTATTTCTATCTCTACATCTATTTCATCATCTCATCATTTCATCCTCACACCATCTCATCAGACTTGCACATTTGTATCGACTCTGCGTCGTTGTGTTGTTTATATCGTTGGTAGGTACTCTACATATACGATCATTTGTCCAATTACCCACACAACTCGCTCGATATTAGTTTTCTATTTTTGCGGCTCGGGAAGCAATTTTGTCGCGTAATAAGTATTTTAGTCATGCGCAGACGTGTTCATAAAATTGTGATTCAGACGTGTGTGTTTGTCTCCTTGCTCTCTTTCAATGACAACTCTTTTGTGTTTCTATCTTCATGCGTTGCTGTTGTTTGCATGTCTGTGCTTGTGTTTTTTTGTGTTGTTGTGTTTGTGTGTTGTTATGTTTATGTGTTTGTGGGTTGATGTTTTTGTTATTGTGTTTTTGTATGTTATTGTTTGCGTTGTTGTGTTTGCTTTGGTTCGTGTATTTTCGTTGTTTGCAGTGTTCACGTCCTACTGCTGTTGTTCAAGCTGATGCGTCTAAATTAGATATTTAATTTTTTGTGTAACGATTAGTTAACATTTACCAAAAATCACTTTTATATGATTTATACGATTAAGCATTTGTGTTTTTTAGTTTTTTTGTTACCGTGGGTTGAAAAATTTAATTTTCGAAAACGATTAAAATCAACTCTGCATGGCATAATATTAAAATGCGTTGTTTTTTAATTATAAACTTTAACCTTTCAATTTATTTTAGGCACATTTTGAAGAACCAAGAAACCTACACGTCTAAGCTTGACTGGCTGTAAGTGCCAAAAACGAATACATTGGAATGAACAATCGAAGGCATCATCAAATTTTTTAGTTCAGAAGTTACTAATGTCACCAATAAAAAATGCTGCTCAATCGAACCTACGATGACGTCACTTACATCAAACAGCTGATCATTCTTCTACTGTTGATCAAGCTGTCAGATAACCAGCCTCTTTCGTTGGTGTGTCCTTCAAAATGCAGGTGTACAGATATTAGCACAGACTGCAGTTTCTCATCTCTATACAACATTCCACATGACATCGACCCTGAAACTCAGCATTTAGATTTGAGCGGCAATCAAATTAATCGGCTGCAAGTCAAGACTTTCAAGAGATTTTCTAAAATTCAAACTGTGAACTTTTCAAACAACAATATGGAATATATCGATCAAAAGTCCTTACTAATATTTGTGGAAGTCAAAAACATAGATTTATCACATAACAAACTAGTCAACATTTCCCCGTTAATGGGTATGCCCAAACTGAAATATCTTAACTTGAGTTACAACGAGATTACACTGGACATTCAGTTGAAGGAAAAATTTGCAAAACCATATCTCCTTGAATTAGATTTGTCGCATAATAATTTGATCGATATGAAACAAGAAAGTTTAAGTATGTTCGAAAAAATTGGAAAATTAGTTTTAAGCAAAAACAGATTTAAAACGCTTAAAAAAGCCTTTCTAATGCATTTTTTTGCAAAAAACCAAGTCGAACCAACAATGGATTTGTATATTGAAGAAAATAAAGAAATTTTAAAATTTGAGAATAACTTTTTTGAAAATTTATACTTAAGAAGTCTTCATTTGAGACAATCAAGCATGAATGATGTTACTTTCATGAAATACGTTCAAGCAAACTTCATTGACTTGAGTGACAATTCAATAAACTATGAAACGTTTTCAATGCCTGATGCTCCAATATGGAAACAACTCTATTTACGTAACACCACAGTTGCCACTGTTTTCAAAAGTAACGGAATGCCAACCTTAGAATTATTAGACTTGAGTTATAATAAATTTACAAATTTTTCTTTTCACACACCGTTGAAAACTGAATCTTTGAAATATTTAGACCTCAGTCACAATTCATTTTTAACAGAACTTGATCAACACCTGGTTAAAGAAATGCCAAGTCTGATCGTTATGAATCTTAGTCATTGCAACTTCAACAAACTGCCAATGGGAGTTTTTGATTTTACTCTCATTGAGGAAATAAATTTAAGTAATAATAGGATACGAAAAATTCCAAATTTCAATCCAGGAGTTCTTGTTAAATTTGACATTTCAGAAAATCCTCTTCATTGCAACTGTGAAATGTCTTGGATTAGTGAATTTTGCGAAAATTTGTACAACTACGACAAAAGGCATCTCTTTGAAAATATCGATTGCAAAACTCCATCGACCATGCTGCTATTGGATTCGCCTCTTGTTTGCCAGTCTCCTAGTGATGTTCATTTCAACAACGACACTTACGTAACATCAGGTCAGAGTTCTTTGGAAATATCATGCGATGCTTCGGGAGACCCAAATCCAACTCTCACATTATATCTCAATGATATGCAGCTTTCAAGAACTGAGGATAATCAGTTAAACGATGGAAGAAGTCATCTTGTGTATAATTTAGATAGTGTAACCGAAATGAATGAAGGGCATTACACTTGTGTTGCTGAAAATTTAAGAGGAAGAGTTGAAAAAGCGTTTCATCTTGTTGTTTATATTCCTACTGTTCCAACCACAAAAACGTCTACAACGACAACTACATCAACAACCACAAAAACAACTACTACAATAACAACACCTAGAGTAGTAGAATCCGATTATCGAAACACATTTGATAAAACGGTTATTTTTATGGAGGAAATAATTACTACGTCTACAACTGCTTCTACATCAACTACGACAAAATCAACTACAATCACGATCTCTACAACAACAACCACTACAACAACCACAACTAAGAGCACAACTACTAGTACCACCACTACCACCACCACCACCGCTACTACTACTACTATCACTACCACCACAACAGCAACTACAACATCTACAACTACTACGCCATTTATTATTATTTTTAGAACTACGACTACAACTACATCCACTGTAAAAAGAACATCTAAACTTCCACACGATGGTCAGAGATCGACAACAACATCGCATCTCTTCAAGCACAGACACCATCAAAAATCTACAACAACCCTACACCCTCTCCATGAATATCCAGACGCAAAGTCGGTAGACGAGAGTGACAAAATAACGAACAAGCACAGAAAGACGAGTACCCATACATCTACCGTTGAGTCCGATGATATACGAAAAATTGATTTGAACATCAGAGACAACAAAGTGGCTGTCATAGTCGCAGGCTCCATAGGAATCCTGGTATTATTAGTTCTAGTGCTCATCTTGTTTGTTTACTTCGTCAGAAAAAGACACAGACAGCGAAAGTATTTATTAAAAAAACGTGACGCATACTTGAAATCTTTTCCAAAGAATGGTTACGCGGGGAATTCCTTTGACCGCAGAGTGAGGTCCAACAGTGGAATGTTAACAACTCCGCTCACCAGCAACAACATGAATTCTCTGGATAGACCGAGAAATGGCTTCGATCTCTTGAGAGAGAAAGAAAATAACAAATAATTTTTTTAATCTTTTGATCGTATTACTATTTATAAATTTTAAGGTGTATATAATTAAATTATATTTTTAGAAATTTTCTTTTATTTTAGGCTGCATTAGAAGAACACGATACAGCATTGGTGCTATTATTTAATAGGAATGAATATTTTGTCCCAATGAATTTATTTTGTTTGTTACCATAATTTATCTTCAAAGTGGGAAAATTAATTATGCTCGCATTTTTTGCCCTTGTTACATCTTCCATTCGTTTAGATTCGTTTAAAAGTTTGAACAGTAGAATGAAAATTTCTAAAATTCTTCCTAATTTAGTTGATGTTTGAGTGTTTAAATTATTTTTATTTCATTTGAACCCATGATTTGTAATTTCTGTTGTGCGATACGAATATTTGTGTAAACTCTTATAACAAGTCTTTAAACCTGTAAGTACATCGATCAGAAAGAGTGGTCCTTCGCATTTTTTATTTAGAAAGCTGTATGTGCATACATTATACATGCTGTGAAAATTTAATGTATCCTCGCTTGCCGATCGTTTAGCACGAAAAATCAGAACGTTTTAGCTTGTAGCCCTATCGAAACTGGTTTTGAAAATCAACAATATTACTATCTATGCTTTATGTACAAACAGGTTTTGTAGCTTTATAATAAATATTACTTGAGCTGTTATTTTCTTAAACTGTATTGTTGTAGTAAAATCAGTTTAAAAATAATTAACAAATTTCAATTTTTTGTGTGTGATCGAAATTTGAATCAAAAATTAGGCGAAATATGAAAGATTTCACGCAACAAGCAATAAATTAGTTACCTACATACTGAGCTTTAGTTAGGTCGTTACATCGGCATAGGTTATGTCGGGTCGAGAGGCTGATGTAGTAACTTAAGTTTACTACATGCAAATAACTCTTCCGCCACGAGGTGTGAGAGAATGCACCTTTTTTTGATAAGTTTGTAAGAATCGTTTCAAAACATTGAAAAAAAGTTTCGAATATAAAATAACTCGGCAAAAACTCATTCAAAAAATTCTACAAATTAGAACGTAAAACTTTTAAATACGCCTAAATACGATCCCGTGATCATAAAAAAGGTTTCAAATAAAATAAAACTTGCAAATATGCGTGGGACCATTTTTAATTCGCTGTCACTCATAACTCTTTTCTTGTATGGACTGGAAACAAGTAGAATCATTAAACAATGTTTGATTTTTTTTTTTTAGGAAATTTGAGATTTTGTAAATGTAAAAAAAATTTAAAATAAACTATATAAAAAATGTCTTTAAATTTTATTTTCATTATTAATATCAAATGATGCAAAGTAAAAATGTTGGTTCATAAATTTAACAATACAGATTCATTTTTAAAAAATTGGCTTTACTTTACCAGATAAATGTTATATATAAAAATGCAAAATGTGCTACTTATAACTAGGCTGAGATTAAATTATCAATCAAAAGAGAAATTGATTGATTAAATTTTATTATTTACAACCAACGGCTTCACTAGAAGTTTTAAGGAATATATAATAGTAAATTAACGTTAAGAAAATAATATCATCTCCTAGAATTGTGATTGAAAAATACACAAGACAAAATATAAACGATAAATTATCATCATAGATCTAGACTAGAAATTGTACATTAGAGAAATTTAAAATATTTTTTATAAATTATTTATATGTAAATAAATACACATATATATATATGTGTATGTATATATATACATATATATGTATGTGTTGGTAATAGACCATAATTTTTACAATATTCTATAAGTTCTACCGAACGTTTGGCGTTAATATGTTTGTAGTTCGTTTACAATATTCTATAAATTCTACCGAATGTTTGGCGTTAATATGTTTGTAGTTCGTTTACAATATTCTATAAATTCTACCGAATGTTTGGTAGAATTACACTACAAACATATTAACGCCAAACATTCGGTAGAATTTATAGAATATTGTAAAAATATATGTATGTGTGTGTATATATATATATATATATATATATATATATATATATATATATTATACACATAGAACAATATATGTATAGAGCATACCCCCAGTAAAGGTTTTGATATCGTTATATAGACTAGTGAATGATAGATATATCAAGTGACTAATTATATTACACTAAATAAAAGGAATACATGGATACGCGGCCGACACGCAGACGATAAGATACCTTTGTAAATAAACTTAATATTGCAAAGAATGTAATGACATGATGATACACAAATATCCGGTCACAGATGTTTGGAAAAATATTAGAAATATACATTCGGATTGTTATAGACAAAGATGGAAATGTATATCTTAGATGATTAGAAGGCACAAGAATATGTAAGCATCAAAAACTGTGATCGTTGATATGACGTTTGGATAACAAATTGAATAACGGCAACACCATCTTGGCCATGCCATTGTTGAAATTTATAGATTCTAACAAAAGTGCATGAAACACGTCTGATGGAATACGTATAACAACTCCGACTGATGACTATCGAGAACTTTACTGATTAGAGTTTTGAATCAACTACATATATATATATATATATATATATATATATATATATATATATATATATATATATAAATATATATATATATATATATATATAAAACAAAAATGTGTCAAAATTAAAAGAAAAAACAATAACTTACAAGATTCACAATAAAAACATATGTTATTCAGATCAAAACGTAAACTAAAATATACACAGGTATAAATATATACATACGTCGTGCAATAAATTAAAATAAAATAGAATGTAAAAAGCGAATGAGATGAAGAAGACCAGGATGAAATATAGAGATACTCTATAGACTCGTTATGCTCATGTTGTTGACTCTTGAGAAATCATTTGTCAACGGTGAGAAGGGGTGATGATGATGATTGTGGTCTCCACCATTCATCGATAATTCTCTCATTGCACTGAAAATATATAAAATTCTATCAATTTAAAACATTTCAACGATAAAATAAGTCTTTTAAATCCTAAGCACCCTTCATCAAGTAACACCGGACCTGGCTTTTAACGGAAAGGACTGAATACAATTTTAAAAAATAGAGTGTAAAAAAAATATCTGAATTTAATATATTTTTATTGTGAATTTTGCATGTTAGCTCTTCTGTTTTTTACATATGTAATCGATTCAACTAATAGGTAAAACTCACAATCATTCAATATACCCAAAACAGGTCTGGCAATAAATAACAGAAATTATCAAATAAGTTTTTGAACCAAATACAAATTTACAATTTTTACCAGTTATTAACCACAAATAAACAGAAGAGATTCAAAAAAGTAGCTATTGTTCCTAGCTGTAACAGACTTAACAAACTTTGAAAAACGTGCTTTATTTACACATCTTGCAAATCATTGACTTTATTTTTATACCATAAGATATCACAAAAATTTAGGAAATATATTAATAGTTGAAAGTGAAACAAATTTGGCAGATTTTGCAAGATTTATAAATGAAAATAACAATTGTACGAAGCAGCCTTTAAAACTTAAACTTCTATTTAAATTTGAGTTTGCCTAATTGTATCAATCATCCCATGAGTGAAAGCTAGAGGTTTTATTTAGAGTTAATGACAGACCATGCAGTCAATAAAAATATTAACATTACCAGCATTATATTACCTGCTGCTGAATGACTTTGAATCACTTTTTTTGATGGGTCTTGAAGAATCAGAATCTGGAATGGAAAAATAAGATACACGAATCAAAATTATATTTCTGAGCAGGTGATGGAATAATTTGTTCATCAAACTGAGACATTTTAAAATGCAAATTCACAGACTGTCTCAACAAATCATTCAGAAAACATTTGCACGCATCCAGTTGACTCTCACAAACACACGCGCGCGCACACACACGCGCGCACACACGCACACACACACTAACAAACCACCTGAAGAAGCAGTTGAATCCTGATTTTCAAGCCTCCTTTTCTTCTTTTTAGAACTCATTGCATAGTTGTCTCTGGCTGACCAACCAGGATATTTCTGGGCATGAAGCTCCTTCTCTTTTTTGGCCATCTCATAATATTTTGCTTGTTCTGACCGATCAAGTGCATGCCACTAACAAAGTGCAATTAAAACAAAGGTGTTCATTGCTCTTTAAAGATTAGCAATGAAATCAACTTAAAATAACGACCACACTAGCAAACGTTTACATTCAAATACATTCAAGTGATACAAAATAAATAGAATGCATGCATAGAAAGTCATGCATAATGAAAAACAAACCTTCCTGCCTAGTATTTGATTGATTGCTGCCGACTCTTTAAGTGTGCACTCTTCGATGACTGACTGTCGCATCTCCTTCATGAATAGCATGAATGCATTCAAAGGTTTCTTGATGATCGGTTTCTTTGGAGTAGCACGTTGGTTCTTTTCCACAACCCCATTGAAACCACACGGAAAGTAACCACCGGGATAAAACTGGGAATCTGTTGTTAGAAGGCCATTCTGAGATCGAGTTGGAGTGAAAAACATCTGATTCCTGAAAGGACTGTTATCTTCTCTCATGAATGATGACGAGGAATGTCGTGCATGGTTTACACTTGGACTAGAATCACTTTTGTGCTTTGAATCGGAACTTCTTGGCCGACTCGTGCTAGGGGAGAGAGGCATAAGGCCAGGTATTGGCACAAATGAAGAACCTGGCAACAAAGGACCACCGGGTATCATTGACGGTGACAGCGGTGGAAATTTTGAAAGGGAACCCCTGAAAATTAGTTGTTACATTATATTAGATATCCTTTTCCATAACGAACATAATCTGTGTATCATTCGCATAAAATGATCCTACAATTATAACTTGCTGGTCAAATAAAATAACTAAATTTAACTTTCAAATTTGAAAAATTTAGCCGTAACGAAAAATTAAATGCTGTTTTACAAGTTTCACATATACACCACTTTCAAACTATACTAATTCCTTCAATCTCAGAGCATTAACAAAAGAATGAACAAAATTACCAAAAACCAATTTCTGCTAACCAGTGCGAGAAATCTGGTGGATAGAATGGAAAGAGGCCGGGTGGGCCGGCCGGGGGCAAACCACAAAATGGTAGGCGTGGAGGATGACCTGTCAATCATTTGTTCATTTCATCTTATATAATATAACTCATCAAATACAATTTTAGAAGTGATAAAATGTGCATCATAATCATCACGCGTTGACGTTGGTTGATGTGGCAACCAAGAAATCTTTTCAAACTTGAATTATTTCAACTAAAACCTTAAGCAGTAAATAATTAGTTGGGTATGATATTATGGCAGTATGGCAGATAAGCATAATACAATAAGCAAAATAAAACGTAAATAGCATGTTTCCAATTGAAGATACTAAGCTTCACTTCCACATATACATATACATATATATTGGTCTTAGCCATGATTTGACTATTGACCAAAGGAAGGAGCACAGGGCTCTGGTTAACAAGGCAAAAGTGGATGAAGCAGCTGATAAGTCGGGTTTTTTATACAGAGTAGTGGGGCCAGTGGGAAGGTGGAGGATTGTAACGTTTCATCCGGAGATAAAGTAAATTTAATAAATGTTGGTTTGTTAAATATCAGATCAATTGTTTCAAAATTTGATATTGTTCATGAATTGATTTTGGATGGGCTGGATATTTTTGTGTTGGTTGAAACTTGGCATGGGGTGTCAGATAATATTTCAGTTAAATTGTCAATGCCATCTGGCTTTAATTTTGTGGATTATTTGAGACCCCACGATCCTCATCATGGTGGTTTGATTGTATTTTATAGATCTTAGAAGTTAGTTTACCACTACTGACTATGTTTGAAGCTATTGCTCTTAGATTCATAATAAATAAAACAGATTTTGTTTTGTTGGCGGTATACAAACCTGGCTCGGCATTGGTTAGTGCTTTGTTTTTTGAAGAACTTGTAAATGTATTAGAAAATATTTCTGTTCTAAGTTCAAATGTTTTGCTAGCGGGTGATTTTAATGTTCATCTTGAAAGAGCTAATGATCAGAATACCATTCGTTTACTCGAAGTTTTTGAAATGTTTCAATTAAAAAATCACGTAAATAAACCGACGCATGTTCTTGGCGGTATACTCGATTTAATTGCCAGTTCTAGTGATTTCCAGGCTACAGATTGTAGAGTTTTACCAAGTGGTGTCTACTCTGATCATGGTTTGGTTTTGGTTCAAATACCAATAAAACAATTATGTAACAAGACAAAGATAAAATTAGTCAGATCTTGGAAGTATATGAATGGTGAGGACTTAGCAACGCTTGTGGAAAAATCTCCTTTATCTAAACCGTGTCAAAGCGACAACATTGATTGTGAATTTAATATTTTTAATGATGAATTGACGAAGATAGTTAATATAATCGCACCACTTCGTTATGTTAAAATTAGGTGCGATCTAATCTGTCCTTGGTTTGATAAGGAATGTTACATTGCAAGAGCAGATTGTCGAAGAAAAGAAAGAAAATATAGAAACTGTTTGCTGCCTGAGCGTCGTGGTGATTGGGTCACAGCTTTGAAGCATAAAACTAAGCTTTTTTCAAAAAAGCGAAATTCTTATTGGAAAAAATTAATCAATGATAATAAAAATAGTCCTAAAAATCTATGGAGCATTGTCAACAGAGTATTATGCAATTCGATTTCAATTCAAGAAGCGCCAGACATATTCAAAAACGTCAACAGAGAAACATTTTGCTCATCAATTTTTAAATTTTTTTCAAGAGAAAATTGATAGAGTTAGACAAGCTATGAACGTTGCAAATCGACCAGCTTTTGATGAAAGTAAATTAAACAGTGATGAATTGTTTTCATTTTTTCCACCTGTAACTGAAACGGAATTAAAAAAGATTATATTTAATTTACCATCAAAGACGTGTCTATTGGATTTGATTCCAACTTATGTTCTTAAGAAGTATTTAGATTTATTTATTACTTTTTTGACAAGTTTTGTCAATTTAAGCTTGACAACTAGTGCGTTTCCTGCTCATTGTAAGCATGCAATTGTTCTCCCAATTTTGAAAAAAAACAATGCAGATAGGAGTGATCTAAGGAATTACCGACCAGTTTCAAACTTGTGTTTTGTGTCGAAAGTCATCGAACGCGTCGTTGCAAAAAGTTTGTTAAAACTCTTAGATAAATATTAATTGATTCCTCTCTACCAGTCTGAATATAGACGTTACCATTCTGCAGAAACTGCTTTGTTATATGTTTTATCAGAAATATATGCTGCTATTGATGAGCAAAATGTTTCTCTGTTGACGTTTTTGAATATGTCTGCGGCATTTGATTGTGTAGATCATGGTATTCTGTTGGAGAGAATGAACAACGATTTTGGGATTTCGGGCACGGTGATTGATTGGTTTAAGTCTTATCTTTCTGGAAGAACAGAACAAGTCTCTTATAAAAATAATTTATCAAATATAAAACTGGTCTCCTCCGGTGTACCACAGGGTTCTGTGCTTGGACCTATTTTGTTCTTATTATATACAGCTGATCTTTATGGAGTTATCGAGTCATTTGTTTTTAAATACCATGCTTTTGCAGATGACATTCAGATAATTTTAAGTAGTAAACCTTCCATTTTGAAATTAACAAGCTTACCGAATGTTTGAATAAATTGGATGTTTGGATGTTGTGTAATTATCTGAAGTTAAATCAGTGCAAGTCCCAGTTTCTTCCTATAGGCACCTGGCAGCAGTTATCAAGGGTTGGTATTAATTCAGTTACAATACAAAATGAAAATGTTCAGTTTTGCCATAGGGCTACAAATTTGGGGTGTATTGTTGACACCAAACTATGAATGATCATATAAAAAAAATTGTGAAGACATGTTCATTCCGACTGCAAAGATTGAATCGAGTTAAAAAATCATTGAACAAATCAACATTACAGTCATTAATGCACGTTTGGACTATTGCAATAGCTAGTTTTATGGTTTACCGAACAGATCGATTGTGATGCTTCAGTCCATCCAGAATAGAGCTGCTAAAATTGTTGCAGGTGGTGCTAAATTTGATCGCGTTACGCCAATTTGAGGAACCTACATTGGCTAACTGTCAATAAAAGGATAATATATAAAATCTGTATGGTAATGTACAAGGTTTTAAATGGATTTACGCCAGAATATTTGACATGCAAGTTCAATAAGAAGAGATGAAATTTGCGTATTGGCACAAGTCTAAGATCTGATGATGATAATTTGATGGTTGTGCCTGTTTTTCGTTTGCAGATAGGAGCAAGAAATATTGCAGTGTTGGGGGCGGTTGTATGGAATGGTTTGCCACGGTCGTTCAGGGTGTGCAATTCAGGAATTTAAAACTTCAGGAAGAATTTGAAGACTCATTTATTTAACCAATAACTGTGAACTGATTTGTTTGTGGTTTATTTTATCTACTTTTTCAGCTATTTCTGTTAATTATAGGATAGCGCTTTTGAAAAATTAACACTATTATTTTTAATAAGCGCTTCATAAATTTTAATGATAATAATGATAATATATATATATATATATATATATATATATATATATATATATATATATAGCACTTTCTCAAGCTAGTTGGCAAGTTAGCTCAGTAAAAGTGCCATGTCTAATGCTGTCACTGTTATCGTTGTTATTGCTATTGTTATTGCGAGATGACCTAGTTCAAAAACTTTCTGTCAAATGTGTTGTGGATGTTTTGAGCCATAACGGCACTAAAGTGTTTGGTTATAAAGACATGTAACCAGTCGACTTGTCATGGCTGTATAATCAAGAAAAAACACTATAATTAAACAGGTTTTGCATATTTTCATGCAGTGTCAATTTTTAAAGCTTCCATTCTTCAGACTGATTCATTTTAAGTTATAGAAGAATTATACAAAAATTGAAACAAACCCATGTGAGCAGGGGGAGGGATTGGTAATTTATCTTTGCCATACATGTACAAACTTGGTGAAAGTGGACCCTGATGAATAGGAAAGTATTAACGTTATAATAAATATGTACGCCAGTTAATCAGATCACCAGCAACCACATCAGCATTTGTTGGTCAATTTTAATGAGAGAAGATTTAATCAAGCTTCTAAAATCAATGAATAACATTTTAGCAGAATTCATGTGAAGAGATTTTGACATTTGGCCATACACAGAAATATAATAAAACAAGCAACAATCTCTTTCTGATAAAGAAGCAAAACCAAAACATGCCAAAAAGACAACATACAATACCAAGATAATAATTTGATAAAAATCAATTTATTACATTTATTTCTAAACCAAAAATAATTAATAAACAATGGCCAACGCACTTAATGTGGAGAGAGAGAGATAGAAAAACAAATGGAACGAAAAACAAATTTTATTATCAATCTACTTGTTAGAAAGATGACAAAAGAACAAAAACATCAATTAAAATGTCACCTGCATGCATACATGCATGTTTAACAAAATAATGAATGGAAGTTTTTTTTCTACAACATAAAGGTTCCAGAATATATTTATACAGTACATTACTATTGTA